TATATATATGTATATGTATATATGTATATATTTGGCTTTGTTAGGAGCTCTCTGAGGGTATTCTAAGAATGTTTGTGAATACGGTCCCAGCTGTGTAGGCTTCTAAAAAAAATTTTTAAACTGTCTCATAATTGAAATTTTTAACTTGGTGAGCAATGTGTCAAATTAATTTAAAAGTTTACAAGCCGTTTTCATTACTTTCAGAGTCTCAGTTTAGAGGTGTCATAAACAATCTTAACAGCCACAGTTACATTTGAGCCGTATTTTGCTCACTGTTGATCCAAACTGTAAAATTTAAGACTATAATGTGTGATTGATTTTATTGTGAGCAACTTTTTTTTTTTTTTATCAACCTTATTTAAGTTGTAAGACTGATATTTATAACAGTTTAACGACCATGAAGAGGGCTTTTCTTTTCTTGTTTCAGATGATCTCCAATAGATTAATAAAATACAACTGTGAGTTGCCTTGTGTGCATTAGAATAGCCTGTGTGCTGACTGAGAACAATACAGAAACAGTTATTTTGTAAGAATGTTTCATCTGTATCTTCTCTTCTGGAGTGTATTGTTATATCTCAACTTTGCAACTGTAAGTCAATCTTATAAACATTGAACTTTAAATCTTGTGATTTTTTTTTCCTTTTATTGGCATATATCAGAAGAAGCTTAAAGCGCTGAAAACATTTCTCTATTGAATTGGTTTACTATCAAAATTAATTGCAGACACAAACACAATCAACAGATTACAAACATATCTCCTGTCATCAAGACAGTTTAAACAGTATTTTTTAACACATACTCAACCCTCACAGCCTGAAGTAAGGATCTTACTTAGTAAATCATAAACAGTTTCCAATTTTGCAAGAACTCTCTTAACACGCACTAATCTATCTTGGACTAGCGTAATCATATTATTCCAGTGCAGATTTTCCCTAATAAATGTGATTTACACAATGTTTAAATGCACTTGTAGTTATTCAGATATACAGTATATTGAGGTTGTGGTGCAGATACTGAAACAGCAGGAGCAGACATGAAATGTAAAGGCAGGAAGAAAAGATTAGAGGGCACAAAACCACTACAAAGGATGTCACAGTGAGCTGACAGCTATGAGAGACATAATGAGCAGATTCAGCATTTCTAGAGGAAATGAAGGTGATGGGCCACCTGCAGCACTTTTAATGCAATCATCTTGTGGCAGCAGGGGAGACAGAGCTGCCTGAGACAATGGTGTATCCTCAGTAAAGGGTGACGAAGAAGAGGAAAAGAAGCAGACGGGCTGGTCTCTGAGCTTGTCTTTGTGCATGTTTACCCAGCTGCTGATGTAGAAAATGTGTGCACAGGAACAGTCCCACAAATTACCTGACAGACAGACAGCATTAAGGCTTTTTAGTGGCTCCAAAGTCCCATTCTCCACTGATCTGAGTTGGTTGGACTTCAAACTCAATTTCTGGAGGTTTGTTAGCCCTTGAAATACATCAGGCTGCAGGTGATCCAGCTTGTTTTCATCCAAGTTGAGTTCTGTTAGATTTGAAAGTCGGGCAAAAAGCTGAAGGTGTAAATTATTCAGGCTGTTGTTCTTTAGCAGAAGCCTGCGGAGGCTGTTGAGGGGGTAGAAGGTGTTGAATGGGATGTCATTAAGCTGATTGCAGCTCAGCTTGAGCTCTTTAAGGTGGGTCAACCCTACAAAGTCATCAGGAGACAGCTTTAAGATGTGGTTATGATTCAGATCCAGTGCAACAAGATGAGTTAGATTCATGAACAGGCTTGTTGAAAGACTGCCGATGTGATTTTCATCTAGTTTTAATTCCTTTAAAGCGATAAGTTCTCTGAACTGGTCCGGATGTAAATAGGTGAGATGATTGCGAGAGAGTATCAGCAAATGTACCCTCACCAGACCATGGAAGACTGAGGGATGCAGAGACCTGATGTGGTTGTCATTCAGATGTATCTCCCTGAGGACCCTCATCTTGTGGAAAAGGCCTTTAGGAAGGTGTTTCAGGGCATTGTTCTCCAGGTACAGGTTCTGCAGGGACTTGAGCTTGTTGAACAGAGAGTCTTGGAGCTTCAGGATGCGGTTGTTTGACAGATGTAGCTCTTTGAGTCTGGACAGCGGATCAAACACCCCAACTGGTAAGGCAGAGATCTGATTGTTGTCCAGCTGCAGTTCTTGTAGGTTGTTCAAGTTCCTGAATATGTCCAGAGGAAGGGATGTCAGTTTGTTCCTGTATAAATCAAGTAATTCAAGGCTGATCAAGTCGTTGAAAACTTTAGAAGGAAGAGAATCTATGAGGTTGGTACTGAGGCCCAGCTCTCGCAACATGGTCAGGCCTCTTAGTGAGCCCTCAGACAGAGTGGTCAGTTTGTTGTTGCTCAAGTCCAGATTAACCAGCAGGGCCAATGAGGAGAAGCAATCCTCTGGAAGGCTAATGATACTGTTCATCTGTAGATACACATACATGAGCCTGTTTGCATCCTTCAGTGCCTCAGTTGGAACAGTGATCAGCATGTTGCCACTCAGGTCCAGTTGTTGGAGACCTGTCGCTCCTCTGAAGCAGGCCTCATCCACACTTGTGATTCGGTTTCTGGACAGAACAAGTTTCTTGAGCACAGAGGAGTTGTTGAACACACCTTCCTCTATCTTTGTTATATTATTATGGCTAAGATTGAGGTCAGCGAGGGCGACGGCTCCTTCCAAGCCACCAACCTGTAACATTCGAATCTGGTTAAAGTGCAAATACAGTGTCTTCAGATTACCTAATCCATGGAGGAATCCGTTCGGTAGATATTCAATCTGGTTCTCGCTCAGGTCCAGTAAGGTGAGAGCAGGGCACTTTAGGAACTGACCAGGGTGCAGAGACTTCAGTCCATTGTTGCGTAGGAAGAGCTTAGACAGGTTTGTCATATTGGGCCAAACTGGGTTGAGGGATAGGAAGACATTCAGCTGGTTCTTAGTCAGATCCAGGACCTTGAAAATATCAAGGAAAGGGAGAATACTTGTGTCTGTTAACTAAAATTCTTCAGAAATATCACTGAATAAAGCAGCCTAGTCACCAGAGGAAAATGTTGGCATTGTACATTTCTGGAAACCATGTATATGTTACATTTGTGTGTAGCATATAAACATTTATAGTGATGGCTGCCAGTCTGAGACCACTGTTCAAGACAACCAAACAAGTTAAAGTTGGTTTTTTGGCAACCCCATGCAGTGTTTCCCAGCTGCATTTGTGGCTCTGAACCTGCGTTTTCACTGACCCATCCCTGCCTTCCTAGCAGCTTATGTGCCACCAAGCGTGGGTGTTTTAAGCCAAAACATGATCTTTTCCTAATCATAAACAGGTTTTGGTGTCTAAACATAACCACACTTTGACCACAGCATTGTTTAAAAATGTTAAGTTTCAACATGTCCGTTACAAAATAAAGTACAGATGTAATGTATCTGTGGTTTGCAGAAACATACAACACAAACATTTTTTCTGGCTACTGGGTTAAAAAAAAAATCACAATATCAGTGTCAAAGTGTCTTGGAATCCCAAATAGGCTAAGAATTCTGTTCTACTTTATGATGATTTGATTGTAAAGGATGCTTTAGTTGTTTTTCAATTTCTTGGTTGATACCTCCACCAGAGAGGTTATGTTTTCAGTTAAGTTTTCTCACAGGATTACGGAGATACTATTGGCCTGATTTTCATGAAACTTGGTGGAAGGGTGTAGCGTGGGCCAAGAAAGAACCCATTAAACTTTGTTGTGGATCAGAATCATGTGTTTCAAGCCATCTGATGTATGTATGTCTACTTTAAAAAGCATCACACACAAAGTGCAGCTTTCAGGCTGCCGTATGTTTCAAACCTGCAGCTTCTCCAGCCCACGCGTAGGTATTTCCTGTATCTCGTTGTATGAGACGTAGAGCTTCTCTGTGACCTCTGGCAGCTCAGGGATCTGGTCCAGTCCTCTCCCCTGACAACCAATACTGGTCAGGTGTTTTTCACATTGGCAGGCTGGGGGGCAGAGGTCAGACGCCCACACCATGAGGCTCAGGGAGGCCAGAGTTAAAGCTGCCAACATGGTCAGCTACAGCTGAGAACAAACATGAAGTATGAGACTATTGAAACAGGACAATTATACTCTTCCTTCCAAAGTCTTTTATACACACCTCAAAATTGTAAATTCTGTCAGTTTATTTTATAAAAGCATTATGTCAAGTTTGCTTTGGTTCTGGGAAAGATCTGAAAGAGAATTACGTAATTTAGACATCACTGAGTTAAAACTGCTGGAATTTGTCATTACAACTATTCTCTATAGTATTTGGGCTAAAATATATTATGAATAGATTTTATTTTCTTCATCTTGCATGTTGAATTCTTTGAACCATCATAATTTAAATACAATTAAATACTAAAGTTAGTATCATTAGTTGTTCTTGAAGAGTATCTCTTTGTATTGTACATTGTATTCATTGCAACACTTTTGAAGACACTGGTTGCTTAATGGAAACAGAATGGATTACTATTTAAATAGCTTCAAGATTAATATTTTTGGGTGTAATAAAAAGCAGCAGTGGAGAGTAAATAAGTACATTTATGTGAGTATTTCTATTTTATGCTACTTTCTACAGTACTTCTACTCCGTGACATTTCTGAGAGACATACTCTACTTTTTACTCCATTATCTTTATTTTAGTTACAGCTTTAGTTACCCTGCAGATTCAAATTATTAATGCAAAATATAATCATCAAAATAATTACAATGAAATCTGTTAAAATGAGCTTCCCCAGCAAGCATTTTTTGGTTTAAAACACATATAATAGCCATCTACATGAAGACCTGTCATCTAGGCTAAATCACGGCTGAATTTGGGCTGTCAGTGAAAATTTGGTAGACGTCTAACCATAGCCAAAGTGTAGACGTCATCAATTATACGTCTATGTAGAGACCATGTCCAAAAAATGGAGATAAACATATTTTAATTACTGTTGACTCTCCATATGTGATTGAATATCATACCGCACGCCATCTGCAATGGCGAAAATTACATTTAATCAGTTTCAGAATTAAATCGGCTAGATTTGGGTTACATGTAGCTAGACTAAATCGGAGCTAAATATAGCAAATACGTTTAAATCACGACTATTGTTTGCTGGGTCACCTTTATCAGTTGCAACATTAAAGAGAAGAACACATTAATGCAATAATGACAATAATAATATATATTATTCTGAAATGAAATGAGTACTTTTACCTTTGTGACTTTAAGTATATTTTGATTTAATTTATTAATAATTTTGTTCTGTTTCTTGAGTTAGATTGGTAAAAAGTATTAAAGGTGTATACAATCATCTATTCAGTAAATATATTTCAAGTGTTACTCTTGCTTTCTTATACCAATGTAATTGCTATTAAATCAAAACTTACCACCGATGAGAAGGCAGTGCTTGAAGTTGTGTTTCGTTGCAGGATACTTTTGCTAAAAGCTGACTTTGCAGACCGTCTTTATACTCGACTGTAGAGGATGCTGTGTGGGACACGTTTATCTGTTGCACAGGAAGTTGCGGTTATGAAATGATTTTTCTTAGAAAAACGACAAAAACAATTTGGTCAAACCAATGTGGTGACTGCACAGCACAGTTTCTGTCATATATGGAGACAGACTTAAAAACTCCAAACTGCATACTGACAAACCAAATCAGTAAGTCCAAAACTAGATGACTCTTTCTTTCAAAGAAATAGAAACTTAATAAAGAATGGGTTTATATTAATACAGTGTTTTTGTTTTATAGTCATCTTTGGAGGTACTTCCCATTTAGAAGTACCATTGGAGGCATGGGCGGCAAACCAGGCGAGGGGGAAAATATTTTTCGAGTTACCTAGATCTGCTCACTCAGCCTCAGTCCCTTAAAGTTTGGTACAGATACTCATTGTGGGAAATACAAAAATGTAAGACTGATTTGGCAAAGGGATCTAAATTGTAACACTAACACTAAAGTACATAAATAGAACAACATAGTAATAAATGCAGGATGGTTCATTAGGGATGACATAAATTTACACATTTAAAGATCCTTTATAGGTACTATTATACACCAGTAAGCCCTCTTAGAATGGGCTTGATATAGAACAACTTGTGTTGGAAATGTAACAGAGAGGCTGGTACCTTTTAAAACTCATGAGGGAATTTTCTTTGAAAGAGGTTATTGAAAAACTGGGTGAATGGTATTAAAGGTCTTTATCAGAATCTCCCCAACTTTGTCTACATGGAGGTAGAAAGAGAATTTACAGGCATCTTCATCACTGCAGCTAGAATTATTCTGTGCCACTAGAAGAGTCAGACTCAACCAGAATTTACTGACTTGGTCAAGCTGATAATGCTTCCTTTGAACTGATGATAGCTAAGTTGAATGCAAGCACAGGAAAATTTGAATTTTAAAAAGTCCTTAGGTTCCTATAACATGTAGGGGGAAGAAGACCTTTATTTTATTTCGCATCCTTCAAAGTTGAGGATCTATGGGATGCTGTATCTAGTATTTATCAAATGATAATGTGCTCTGCTGTGTTATGTTTATGTGTAAATATGTAAATCAAGAGCTAGGGAATACATCATGTCAACGAAGGTCTTCACAAGTACCAAAGTACACAAAAATATGTGTTTGTCTGTGTGTTGATGTCATCGGGGTCAGCATGAGCCACTGGCTGAATCGATCCCTGCTGACGTGCTCGGATCAGCACAAATCACTAGCTGTTACACACACACACACACACACACACACACACACACAATCCCAAATGTAGAGAGCAACACAAACCGACTTCCTCCCCATCCCTTCCTTTTCCAGAGGCCATTAGATGTATTGACGATTCCACATCCAGTGTTTTTTTCCCCTCTAATTGGTTTATGCACAGCTGACCGGACAGTGATGCTAATGATGCCGGTGTATTCTGTAACACGGTGTTCAGAACAGCCTCTGTAATCCATGGAATTATGGACTGCTGCTCTTGTTGTTCTTTCCAACATTGATTGTCTCGCCGGTTTAGCAGCAGCAGCACTCTGCTCTCCTACTGAACCTCTTTCTCTGCCTCTGCCCTCTGAGGGGTCTCCGACAGTGAATCTGCTCGTGTGTTGCTCACCTGCACGTCTCAGTGTCAGCCTCTCAGTCTGCAGGATTCCTGGTCTCAGTCATAACCAGGAAGTAGGGGTGCGAGGGAAGGATGAGGCCCTGGGTTCGCTCCAACAGGTCCAGATCAGTCCAGGTAAGACTTCTGAATTCAAATTTAGTCATGAATAAAGTAAGACATATATTAATCCAATCACTCAAGGTTGTGAATACCTTTGCTTTTAGGCCTTGTAATAGTTTTTTTATACTCAACAATTTAAGAGCTGCATCAATGTTTCACGTCAAGAAAAGATATCCCTAAATGTCATTACTGATCATAATTGATGAGGTTAAGTTTTTGGTTTTGTTGGACAGAATATGTGATAGAAATGTCACAATAACACCGCTACAGCTCATTAGTTTCTGAATCACTTTGTCGCATAAATATACATGCACATATTTTAATGCTTTTTAAGGATTAGAATTGACAAGCTTCCAGTTTTTTCCTGCTCCTGACCTTACATGAATGTGTACATCTCTCCTCCCAAATCCTTCCTGATTTTCTCTACTGAGAACAAGCTCAGGTCAAATGTCAACACAGAATACTCCTAAAATGGACGCAGCGTTTATGGTTTCACTGTATGTGCTCTGCTTAAAAAAACATGACATCAGACAAAATCAGAGGCAGAGCAGGGGGTGGGTGGATTCTGAGGCTTCAGCCCCAAATGTTTTCTTAAAAGACCTAAATCTTAAGTTTTTAAAATACCTTCAGCTTTGTTTCACTCAGATGATAATATGTGTTCATGTTGTTTCCTTAAAGAAATCTAATTGAGTAAAAGTTCTTGGTCTAATATTCAGGTCAGAGTAGTGAAGACCACATTTACCTGGGATTGTTGGGATCCTTGATTTACAGTTAGTGAAGTCCAGATTATTATGGGATGGATCAATTGTAGCAGATTTGTCAGCTAAGCATCTATTCTGTGAACTCTACTCCAGCATAGTTTAACAAAATATAACTTTAAAGATTAGTAATGCTGTTTATACCAAATCCCTACCCTGCCTATCTTATGTTACTGAAAAAATAGTGACATCAGACAATTTTTGCCTCTTTTTAGGTTGCAGGAGTGAAAATTAGTCAACTTCAACATAATTTGTGTCATGCTTGTGTTGTGTGCCCACAAAGCATTTTTCTTCAGCAGAAAAGTGGCAGGAAGTCCCTGGGGACATCCCAGCATTTCATAAAACAAAGCGCTCCCAGCACTTTCTTCAGTGACATACTATTCATGGTTTTTGTTTCTATGACAGCAATATCTTGACATTATTGTTAGCTCGGTAGCCAGTGTCACACTGGGTTAACAGAGGGCTGACTACACAGCTAACAACAGGCTTAAAAATGTATGGTGATAGAACACAACACTTAGTGTCTGGCCAGGCTGATCCCAAAGTTGGGCTTTTCTGTCTTTGTTGTGATAATTTCATACAGCTGGGGATAGACAGTAGCTGAAGGAATGGGTCTGATGACACCAGCACCTTTCTGAAAAGTTCAGAGTTTTTTCAACTAGAAGTTGAAAACAGAACACTCTGAAAAAGACACTGGGTGCCGTCCTTTTTCTCTGGGCGACTGCATGTGGCCTAATACGCTCTCTCCCCTGTGTGGGAACAGTTAAAAAAGGCACTGGCACTCAAAAAAACCCACAATGTGGATACGGGCCTTTATGGTTTCAGAATGATTAAGATAGTTGGAGAACAATTAGATACAAGATGGGATATACAGGATGTTTTTTTTCCTTGTTATCCATGTTTTTCTCAAATGATGCACAGATTTTTATTATCTCCACTTGCTTGAAAATCAGTGCATATAGCTGCCATAAATCGGAAAAGAAATCCTCCCAGGGGGCATTAACCTGGACCCCCCTAGTTTTAGGCTGGAGCCTTCAATGTTTACAATGTCCAGCTCCGCCCCTGCATAAAATATTTACAACTTTGTGCTGTTGTTGTTTTTTAATAAATGTCTACAATATTGTGATGAATTATATAACATATACGGCAGTTCAGGTGCTGGTTGGTCAAATGTTTATTATGTATGGCTGTGTTTGTGAATATGCACGACCTGTTAAAACCTGGAGATTCACAGACAGGAGGAAATCTGTTGGACGTCAAAGTGTTGAGTGGAGTTCAGTTTGGAGAGGCAGATGTTGGGATGAGTTGTACAGCTCACCAGATCAACCACGCTGATGAGGTTTAGGGCTCCTCTCTTTCCACCTGAGCACATGTGAAAGGAAGCAGGAAATAGGACTGTGCCCTGCAGGGTGTTTGGTACACGGGTTTTGGTTGCCTTGGTTTCATGAATTCCCCTTGACTGAAACATCAAGGTGTGGTCACCCCGTGTATTCATAGGCATACAGTTTGCTTTAATCTCTAATAGACTCTAAGATTTAAAGCTATGCTGGCCATTTGGCCATGTACTATATAGAATTTTGTTTTTCAGCATAAGCAAAATAAGATAAGAGTTCTGGGCTGTGGTGCAAATTAAAGCTTCTCTGAAAGAGGAGCTGAGCTTTTAAACCAGTAATGGATCAATTTGACGCTAAGACATACATGTTTAGATTTATAGTTGTGCCATAAGCAGAATATAGAGGAGAGTTCAAATTTTACTGTCCAGAATTTATAAACTGCACTGTACATATTCATAAAATCAGAATGGATAGTAATAAAATTTTATTTTCTGGGCTTTGGTGTAGTAAAATTATCTTTTAAATAAGGGGTTATGTTAAACAGTGAATAACTCAACATACATGTTGGGGCAGATTTGCTGATATATGGAGATGGGCCCACATGTTTCATGCTGAGAACATTTCCATTAATTGTGAAGTCACCTTGCCATCCAGGGTTGCTGTTTTAATGGTGCTGTAAATGTACATAATATTACATCTCTTTCAGTGTCCTTTTCAGTATGTGACTTGCAACCTTGAAATGTAAAAATTGTATTGGGAGCTACAGCATGAGATAAATACCACTTTGTTGTAGAGTTAATGCTTTATGTGAGTAGTAATTAGGCCTGCTGTTTAATGACTCCTGTAAGTTGGGTTGGGTGGGAAAAGGGGAAAATAAAATTATGTTTAATGCGATTTTTGTCTTTTTGTTCAAAAGACTTTAATTGTAACATGAAGCTCTTGAAAAGTTACAAAAACAGGGGCTGAACTGTCATATTAGACCTATTTCACTGAGATGAAAGTAGTGTATAATCTGAGCCGAAGAGGGCAAATGAGAGTTAGTGGTGACAAGGAGGGTGGTCTCTCTTTATGTGCCATCCTTTACCCCAGTGTGCTAACTCCCTGACAAAAGACATTCTATGTTGACATTGTATTCTCATTTGAGAAGCTGTGTCCCACACACTGGAACAGTCCTCTGTTTCTGTGAAACTGTGGAGTTTGGAGAACTCAAGGCTCATAGGATGAACCTTCATCCTGCAGTCTACGTAGGGTCCTTCATTTGGCTTAGTTCTTGCTTCTACCCTCACAGAGATAAGTAGTATGTACTGGAGCTTGGGAAGAATAAACTGGTGCTGTCCTCCAAATTCGGGCCAAAGAAAGATGCATTTCTATGTCACATTTCTCTGTCACCTTTGAAATGGAACAGACTTGTTGACCCATGATGATGTACTGTATTTGAATCAGAATCGTGTTTATTGCCAAGTAGGTTTCTACATGCAAGGAATTTGTATTGGTATTTTGGTGCACAATAATAAACATAGTCAATAGAAACATGTACTGTAAATATCAAGAATCTGATATAAAAAGAAAAGTTTACATCCTTTTTTTTTAATTATGCACTGTGGCACTTTTTAAATCTAGGGAAGGGATGATAATAATAACTTTAAGTAGAAGACAGTTTTTGAATAACGTTAAACTGACACATTTTTTGTCTTGTATGATTTTAAGCCACCAGGAGGCGATAATATTGTATTAGGAAAAAAAATGTATGTAAGTTGGGTTGGTCTCTAAAAGAATAGCAAGAAAAAAGGGTAGGATGTCGGTGTGGGGGGCAAACAAACTGCCAAAGTCAAGAATCATACATATAGACAAAAAAAAAGAAAAAGAAAAAAAGAAACAACAACAGCAATAATAATAATAATATTAATAATCATAGTAATAATAATAATAGTCATAGTAATAATAATAGTCATAGTAATAATAATACCAAAACGTTTTTTAAAAAGCAATGTAAAACTGGCACAATTTTTGTCTCTTGAATAAGTCAGGAATCATATATATAAAACAGAAAAACAGAAAAGTTAACAATTAAAAAAAAAAAGTAAAATAATAGCAGGGAAATAATAATAAATACAAATATAATTATAATCCCGTATTTTCATGATGTATAACTGACAGTTTTTGTCTCTTTAAATGATTTCAGCCACCAGGAGGCGATAATGATATTTTAGGAGAAAGAAACAGAAGTTGAGATGAGTTTCCGGAAGGTAAAATTCAAGAGATTTTGTCAAAAAAATAACAGTCGCTCTTTTTGCCGTTTATGTGTATATAAAACTGTAGAAAAAGTAAGTCATCCTGGACTTAATTGTGACTTTAATTCACAAGGAGGTCCTAGTTAGGATTTTCGAAAGTCGAAGGACTGATTTAATGAGGAGTGCCTGAAGGCAGCATGGCAGAGACGAGGGGGGGGGGGGGGACATGCGCGTGTGTGTGCGCGTGCGCGGCCACCGACGCAGCAGCCCTGCCTTTTATTACCGCTGACGTCCCTCTGCCTCCCTCTTTCTCTTGTCAGTGTGGCTTCTGGAGGGGTTATCCCATTTTTCCTCCATCTTCTTGGTAGAAAAACAAATGTAATGTTTCCGGGGAGCCGCTGCTGCTGCTGCTGCTCACCCGGGTGACCTTTCATTTACCGAAAAAGCTGTTGGAGCCGAACCGAATGAGAGGAGCTAAGGGGCGGACTGGACCAAGAGGAAGAACCGGAGACTTGACTGGGAGGCTGCACATCCGCCGCTGTCTTTAATCCAACCGCAATTTGCCATTGATTTCTTTTCCAAGGCTCCGGACACCTTTCTGTATTTGAAATGTCGTGTAAGACGGTTCCTGGTTGTGTTTCCGTGACAGTTTTTTCGTGGGAGCCACCCTTTTGACGTTTGTCACCCTGAAAAATCACATTAGCTAGCTTAGGGGAAAACTCCCCCTTTTTTCCTCAACTCGACCCGCGGTGGTCGCTCAGAGCCCGCGGCTGTTTTTCCTTTTATTTCCTACCCTCATCACTTGCTTCAATGGTTGAGTTTCATCTCCTTTCTCACCACATGACCGATGCAACTGAAAGTAAACTGATGACCACCGGTTTTTTTTTATTACCGAGCCAACCCGTGTGAACCGACATGGTACGATAGCGTCTGCGAAGGATTGGGGGAAAGTGAGAAGCTAGGTGGGGGGTTCAGTCTGGGTTGTTTTTCTTTTTTCTCTGTTGTTGTTTTTCTTCAGATGAGCCTGGGTTGGTACCAACAACACCAGACAGACATGAGGTGGATGTAGTTTGTTTTTTTATGCATCAATTTAAGCTGGATCACTGTCTTGGTGATCTGTGCTGCCTTCGCGGACTGTGACAATGAGGATTGTATGAGAAGTGAGTCTGTTTTTTTCTGGTCTGATTGACCGCCAGGCTAATCTGGGGTGTTCTTTTTATACCCAGTGTGAACACGAACCTACAGCCCACTTATTTATTTTTCTGGTGGACGACGAAGCGCACTCAGGGACGAACATGTCTTTACGCACGGCACTGCCTGGGAACGAGCGGAACCCAGACCATGTAAGTAGATAATTAAGAACACAGGGCGTCTATTTGTCACCTTCAGCAGCAGGAATAGGTTACCATTAGGTGGTGTTGTGCTTTTGAAGAAAGTGATTATAATAACCCCCCAACCCTCGGGCCCTGAGATTAGTCAGCCATGTGCAAAGAGCAGCTGCAGTCAAGCAAGGCGACACTAATCTCCCCCAGCTCATTTGGGACGGGTCGCAATTGGACACACAGGATGGAGATGGAGGGCATGGAGAGGGAGATGGGGAGGCTTGGGTGCTTTGGACTGGGTGATGTGTTAGAATGATTACACACACACGCAAAATGCACACATGTAATCAATCAAGGAGATGCCTAAAAATTTACCCACCGGTGTCTACAGTGCGCATGTTTGTCTTCCCCCAGCTGATCAATAATTAATGCATCTGATGCAAGGCCACCCAGCCCTCTCCTCAAGGCCACCCAGCCCTCTCCTCAAGGCCACCCAGCCTGCCCTGCACCCATCCTTCCTACATCACCTCACTTCCAGCTTTTCACCTTGTCTGTACCCCCTCCACCCTGTCTGGTCTGTCCAGTTTCCCGTCTAATGAAACTGAGTGGAAAGCAGCTCAGTATTGCAGAATCTGCTGTGTCAGGCTAGCCTGGTTTGTCCTGCTGATGTTTTGATGTGTCTGTGGCAGCGTCTGGGTTTTGGGGAGACAGGACTTAGAGTTGAATGGTTTATTTTTTAAGCATTATACAACATTTTTTTGAGTATAAAGATGCTTCTAAGATTGTGAGCCTCTCTAATGTCCCCTCACCACGTATCGACATCAGTAGTGTGGCCATACAGAGAATCCCCACCTTTTATCTCAAGGGCACCAAGCTTACAAAGCTAGCCACCTGAAATATAACTCTCTCCTTTTGGATTTCAAGCTCTCATAATTTCCTTTGCAGCAGCAGCAGCCAGTATTCAGATTCAGATTCAGATTCAGAATACTTTATTAATCCCCGGGGGGAAATTGTTTAAATAGAGAATAGAGAAAATAGACAAAATAGAGAATATTTGTCTCCTATTTTTTAAATGGTGTTTAAAGGATATATGTCATCATCACTATCCCAATATAAATGAATATGAATATAAATGAAAGCCACCAGTAGTGCTGATTCACAGTTAGCTGGACTCTCACAAAGACCTTTTTGCATAGCCATAGCGACAGGGAAAATGCATGAAAACATAAAGATTAGGTCCCTTTCCTCAGGGTTATTTACTGTGTACATTTTGAGCCCTGGTTGTACCCATTGGAGAGACGCTGCAACCTTTCCTTACTAACCTGCCTCACTGCGGATTGTTTCAGTTAGGTGTTTATTGCCTGTAGCCCTTTTGTCAGGACCCAGAAACCCTTACAGAGGTGGCAGAATCCAAGATCTCTTCATATGAGCCTGGAGTGGATGGGTTGGACAGTTTGTCAGGCCACACCCAAATGTTCGACTCCAAACAAGTGACACTGCAATTAGATGTTGCCTTTTTATTCCAAAAATAATGTGAGTAATTAAGCAAGAAACTCCCTTTTCTGTTACAATATCTATTCACCTTCTCAGCAGGCTTTTAGGACCACATGGTGTTTAGTAGTTCCTTGGAAATGGCTCTCTTCTCCTGTTTAGTAACTGCAGGAGTAATAAAACAGTTTCTCCTAAACAAAGCAGAGCAGTAAACCAATAATTGTGGCTATTAAATGCTTGTCATTTTTGACAAAAGTTTGCTTGTGGTTTAGTGCTGGTATTACGTATGACAGAACTCTTCTTTCTGACTGTGAAAGCAGGATAACTGAATGATCAGTTTAGTTAGCCATCATGTTAATGATGAGGAATAATCTACCGTCCTCACTCCTTTCCTTCCTTAAACTTAGTGAGCTATTTGATTAGTCCCACTGCTGTGAAATCAGTAGTTATGAGTTTTTTTCTCTTTACAAAATAGAACTTGTAATATTTAGGTGCTCCCTTTGTTATGGTGCATTGTGACCAAGCTGGTAAAGGAGGAATAAACTATTTGGCCATGAGCTGGACAGCAGAATGATTGCTGTGCTCGCTCAGTCACAAGCCACTCTTGTTAGCAACCTCACCATGGCAACAACAGGGGATCCTCCATATTACCCTTCCTGCCCATCTTTTCCTCACCCGCCCTTGTTCATTTTGACGAACGCACACATACAGAGTAATTTACTCTCACCCAGATAGTCCTCTGTATGTGACAGCAGGCACACACAGTAGGCTGAGTTCACTCAGTCCATGTACAGTGTGCGAGGGCCAGGACAAATGATCAGTATGGCCTCTTGCAGTATGTTGTTGACACAGTGGTTCCAGTATTGTGTGATGTGTGCTATTATGACATTTTCCAACTACTCTGCTTTCTGGCAGTTAAACTTTTTGCCAGGTTAAGGCTGGTTGAATGATGGCTTATGTTCATGTACTGTGGCACGTAGACTCTATATGGACTTTCACAGTGGAAGCTATAATGTAATTTAGATAATCACAACTGATTCGATTCAAGAAACTGTCTCACTACTTTTTCTCTGGCTTCAGACAAGGCTGAGGTCTTACCTCCTTCATTTACTATGTCTTAAACAGATGCTTTTACTAATTTTAAAAGTGATGCTTAAATATCTTTACAGTATCCCTTAAAGGTCCAGTGTGTAGGAGTTAGGGGGATATGTTGGCAGAAATGGAATACACAGTGAGTATGTTTACACTATCATTAGTATGATTTCTTAAGTGTATAATCACCTAAAAGTAAGAATCATTTTTGCTACCTTAGAATGAGGTGTTTGTATCTACATAGGGAGCCGGTCCTCGTCCACAGTCCACCGTGTTGCACTGCCTTGTTTCTATGGTAGCCCAGAATGGATAAATCAAACACTGGCTCTAGATGGGGCCATTTGAATTTTCACTGCACTCACCATAGTTAGCAGCCCCTTGGACAAGCCTCAAGACATCAGTGGCGGAGAAACTGATTTGTATTGTGAAACTGCTTTATTCAGTGTTTTTGCTGGTTTAAATCACCTGGTCTGTTTGTTTTAGAGAGGGGTAGACCTCTGCAGGTAATTCAGCTCCCAGTGAAAACCTCCCGTACAATGAACACTGAAAGAATTCTAACCAGGAGAAGTTTCAGCTGGTTTAAAATTGCAGTCCTCATCCCTAGACACCACTAAATCCCCCTAAATCATACACACTTTTCCTTTAAGAACAGGTCCAAAACTTTCATGTATCAGAATTTACTAGTTTTTACTTTTTACTGGTATGTCAAATTGAATAAATTTTGAGCAGGTTTCAGTGTACAACAGTGCTTGAATGCTGTAGAGATAAGAATGACAAAATAGGAGGAACTAGAGATGAAACAGTTACTGGGTCCATGATAAACTAGGGTAAAACTCCCACTGTTTAGTATTAGCATTTTAAATCTGAATTATCATTAAAACCGTCTGTTCTTCAGCACTTTAAAAAACACCAAAGTTAGCAACAGTCTCCTAGACGCCAGCGTAACATGGGTTCATGTTCCTATTCCCTTTTTGACAGTGTGTGTTCAGCAGGCAAACCCAGTGATGATACTGGTTCCTTGTCCTCATCTACAGTGATACAGACATTCAAGCAAGCATTTAAAAAACTGGTTATCTTTAATGTCACTGAACATTTGATGTGGTGTTCATATGTTTACATAAGGTATTGGCCATGTTGTTTATGCAAACAAAAAGTGCTGCTAGTTTCGTTTGTGGCTTTCAATAGACCAATTTTAGTGGACGTCACAGTTACTTCACAGCAGTTGTGTGCACATACTGGTGGCAGAAAAACAGTGGACACTGGTGAGAAACAGTTGAGATACCTGGAATAAAAATGTCTTCTTGTGCCGCTGGATGTCAGAACAGGAATACAAAAAAAGATAACCTTCATTTTAGCTGAAAACCATTGCCAAGGACGCCATTTGAAGCATAATGAAGACATTAATGGTTGCTAGACTTTGATGTAAAAAAGTCTACATAATATTTACATATGCAATTCATAGAGCCCTACAGTTACAGCATGACATAATATTTAGGTTTATATTTACATACACCTAGTGGTAGCAGTATTTACATTTTTCTAAAATGCATTAAACAATGACAAGAAGTTAATACTAACCGAGCCATGAAGTGCAGTTTAAAAAAGTTAAAACTTAGTGAAATGATTTCAGTGTGTGTATCAGTACTTTCTGGACATTTTCAGCACATATTAACAATACCGTGATAATACTAACTACCATGATATGACATTTTTAGACTGTTTCACCTCTAACATAGCACATAATATGAACATTTTGGGTGTACATTTCTAGACATGCAGTAACATGTTATTGCATGTACATGTGTATTTTGCATCTTAACACAAAACCGGAATGTAGTTTCATAACTTCCTGTAGAACCAGACCATCATAAATACACTGTTACACAACCTGACTTGAGATTTTTATGCTCCCGTGTTTTTGTCGTCTTCTGAGATCATTATCGCTGTGTTATAATTCAATCACAGCACTCATGACATGACAGCCAAAGCTTTCACACCAGGATCCAAGATTTGCATGTTTGTACTCTCTGTTACCTCCATTGCCTCTCTACTGTTGTTCAGTCTTTCTTCTCTCACACCAGTTCTCTTCCTCATGATATCCCCCTCCTCCCTTTAATTCTGACTCCATCAAGTCCTGTGGATCCAAAGTCACAGACACCAGACATAAAGGCAGACATCCCTTCCAGTCCAGGCAGCATCCATGTCCCCATCCTTCCTCTCCTTTCAAGCCTTGGACCTGTTAAAAAAAAAAAAAAAAAATCCTATTCCTTTTTCTTCTCTTCACACATTAAGTCCTAGAATTGTATGGTGTTGTGTGCGTGTATTTTTTGTCATGACACATTACAAATTATGTAGGTTTTCCAGATGACATGCATCAAATATTACCATTTGCAAAGTGCACCAAAGCTAGACAGTGACATCATCATAAGAAACCAAAC